CAATGGGCGACAATAGCGACAATTGCTGCAACAGAACCAGCAGCAGCAGCACAGCAGCGGCGGCAGCAGCAGCGCAGCAGCAGCAACAGCAGCAGTGGTAAGAGCGGCATTAGCGACGACAATGGCGATAGCAAATTTTTTTTATATATACACAGTCAGTCGCTGTTGTTTAATATATAAACGCCGCATACGCACGCGCATTACCCATACAGAGGACAAAAAGTAGCGGCAGCAGCGGCAGCAACAGCAACAGCAGCCCAAAGTTATATTTGGAACGGTAATTTAGAATCGCTATCAAAAATGTTATTATTATTGTTGTTGTATAGAATTTTGTTTTGTTGTAACTAAAAAAAAAAAAGAAAGTTTAGATTGTCGATTGTCAAAAAATATTTACAAAACTGCTGCTATTTATTTATTGCTAAAATGTAGTTTTAAAACATTACGGAACTATTTGAATTTGTTCAGATGTATATTTTTTGCTGGCTTTAGACCAATTGTTGTTGATTAGATGTGTGAATTTTGTTGTCATCATCATCGTCGACGTCGTTGTCGTCGTCGTCGTCGTCGTCGTCGTCGTCGTCGTCATTTTTGTTGCTATTATCATTATTTTAACGATGATGGCCGATGACGCCTGTTGTTGTTGTTGGTAATGATGATGGTAAGTATTAATTCGGATTAAAATTTTAGCCTTACCAAGATAAGTTCTATTTGGATAGGTTTTTTTTTTTTTTCGTTTTCTGCCTTTTTTTTTTGTTTACCACTCTATCAGTTGTTTGGTTTAAAAAAAAAAAAAGAATTTTGCTGAATATAATATTAAATTTTTTTTTTCTTTCTTTTCCTTGCTTAGTGCAGTTTGTAAGATTTTGGCAACAAAAAGCCAGCAGAAGGTTTCGAGCCAAAAAAAAAAACCGCATTTTAGTTTTGTTGTTTAACGTTTTTTAGCAGAAAAAAAAAAAAAAAACAGCAGTCATCGGTTTGTAAATTTTTTTTTTTTTTTTGTCGGTTGTTTATATGTTTGTTTAATTGTTTTTCTGTCTGATTTTTTTTT